CATAAATGCAAACTAGTATGTCTCTAGAAAATATGGTTGAACAATAATAACCAGGTGGAGAGATCTGTGGAAAACAGTTGTAGTAAAAGAAATCTGATGCATTGAGAGTTTGTACTTACTTGATGTTAAGATAATTAATACTGCTCCAGTTAAAAGTGGTTGAGTCAAAGTCAACCACAAATCGGTTGTTTTCTGTCATACTTCAAATAAAATGCTGTTTCATTTACAAGACCTTTATTATATAGAAAAATGAAGGAAGAACTGTTGAAAAGGATGGAAGACAGACAAAAATTCCCAGATTACAAATCTATTAGGACCTATTAAAAATTTGTCTGTTTTCAGAGCACATTTAACCAATCTGAAGATCTGTGAGAGTCTGTTGATGCTGAATAGCTTAAAAAATGATCTGTTTACTCAGATGTGTAATTTTAGCTCCTGGATTCAAACTTGGACATGAACTATTAAAAAACTTCCATAAATACTGATAAAAGGAAAAGTGTTATGTATATAAAATAGATGTATATTTTTGAAGGATATGAATTTTGAAGAAGAAATTGCTCTAAGGTGAAGTAACAGGAGAAGTTTGAGAGAAACAATCTTTTTTCCAGTTACTTACCAAATACCAGTTTTGAAAAGTCGTTTCCTAATTTTTAACATGGTATCTTGAGAGGAGTAGAGCACAGTCACAGATTTGCATTCAAGGCTGAAACTTGACTAGCTGATCTTAGAGAATTTAAGCACCTGATTTGATTTTCTGAAAATTAAAGTTGTGATGTGCACAATCCTCCTGCAGTGAAAGGGGTTTATCTTTTAGATTTTTTTTTGGTAATCTTCCTTACAGATTTAAGTGTTTTAACTCAATAGCTTATTACCCTGGTGTGATTAGAGTAGGTAACAAAACTAATGCAAATACAATAAATTAAAGATGCAACTTCTGTTTTTCAGCACTCATCACCAATCACCAGTTTACTAACTTTAAAAGGATGGTTTTATTTCTAAAGAAATATACTAATAAAACAACAGTTTGAGTTTGTAAATGTTAATGTTTCCAGAGAAGGAAGGTCCGGAGAAAAAGAAAGTGAAGAAGGATGCTGGAAATAAGAAATCGACACCAGTTAGCATCCTTTTTGGTTATCCTCTGTCAGAGCGCAAACAGATGGCACTTCTCATGCAGATGACGGCAAGAGATAACAGTCCAGGTGATCTTACACGGTTAACAGTTTTTTGCCTCCTGCCTGTTTAATTCTGTCCAACTCAGAATATTCTGAACCCTCGTGGTTTTCATCGATCTGTGATTTTTATTGATTTTTTTTAAAATAACAGTTATTCATAATTCTGTTAAAACTCCATTTTACATCGACAAGTAATTTGCTGAAAAACTCTTGTCCTTCTGTATTTATGTGCAAAGCTTTGTGTTATGACAGCTGTAAAAACTGAAAATCTCTTCTCTTCCCTTGATTATTTTTGCTACTCAGACACTGTTCCATATGCATTGCTTAAACCAAAATCTTACATGTTTTTTATGAAGTTTAACTACTGCCTCATTGTCTCAGTTTGGAGCAGGGTTTTAATTAAGAAGGAAATTGGGTCATTTCTGTAGGATTTAGTGGTAGAGGAGAGACACCTTGCTTTTAATTCAGAACTTCAAATTGTCCTTGGTCCAGTCATATTTCCAAAAATCTTTGTGTATGTATTACATTCTACAAGTGTAATGTTTTTACAGAATTGGCATTTGGAAGTGAATGGCTTCGTTTCCTTAAGAAACTGTCTAGTCCACCCAAAAACGTTTGTGTTGGCACAGCCGAGGAAATGCAGGGAGTAAACACAGTAATTCCTTAAACTGGTGTCCCACTATATAAAAATTTAGTGGAATTGTGCTGACAGAAGGGGAAGCAGGGTAGTTACTAATCTGTATGGCCATGTTTTGTCTCATTTCAGCAGAATTTATACCATAGTGGGTGGACCTTGTAGTTTGGATAGACTTTACCTGTCCTTAAAACCTACTTGAAAGTAGCAAAATTTTGCAAAACACCCTTTGCACATCGCAACTAGGAACTGTGTTGATGCGTGTGAAGCATCAAATACATCTTTTATTTAAATATATATATAAATATTTAAATTTATTGATTATTTTCATCTTTTAATGAAAATGTTCAAATGAGATGAGGAAAAAATAGTGTTAAATAACTTAAAGTGACCATTTAAAAACTTATTTTCTAGATGCAACCTTAAATCATCACTTACAAACAGCACCAACACAGAAGAAAACTCCAAGCTCTTCCTCAAGACAAAAAGACAAAGTTAACAAGAGAAATGAGCGAGGGGAAACTCCTCTACATATGGCAGCAATTCGAGGAGATGTTAAACAGGTTAAGGAGCTAATCAGTTTAGGAGCAAATGTGAATGTCAAAGATTTTGCAGGTAAGTTGATACATGTTCTCCTAACTGTACAAATTCAAAATTAATGCTGAAGTTCTTATCAGAGGTTTAACTTTGTGTTATATACAAATGAAAAACTATAGCTTAAAACTTACTAGAAATTCTCAAATCATGTCTTTTTTTAATTTCTGATTACAGCGTACTACTGGGATATTACAGTACATAGTGTATTATTAGAAGAGGATATTAATACTTGGAGATTTCAGTTGTGACCAGGGATTTTGCATACTATATATTTACAAAAATATGTGTGCACACTTCCTGAACTTTGTAGCATTATATTAGGCAAAGTCAGTAATTGATAATGGGATGATAGGCTGTGGGAGGAGATGCAAAGTTTAGTAGCAGCGAAGGCATCAGCACTGTAATATTCATTGTCGTCTTAGTGGGACAGCCAGTATGCACCACAGCAGATGACTGTGATATAGCTTGCACTAGATTAGTGATAGTTTTGATATGTCAATATTTGCTGTGATTTCAGCACTGATTGGTTAGCTTTAAGGTAAGTTGTACTATATTTTTAGTATCCTTTACTTGGATATTCTTTACAGTCTGTTTGTCTGTAAGATCTCCTAAATAATTCTTTGGAACCAGCTGGCAAACTTTTACCTGTTTTGCTTTTGATACTCTCACAGCAGTTAAGTTTCTACATGTTTTAGTAAAAAATCTCCAGCAGAATAAATATGAGATCCCTGGGGTAATACTTTCGCAGAAGCTAAAGCTAAAATCTGCAGGTTTGAATTAAATAGTTGCCAGTTGTTGATTGGCCAGGCACCAAATCAAATTTATTTACATAATGAGGTAAGCCAAAAGATTTTCTGTTTTTATCTCAACCAGTGCAAAAGAGCCTAAGACTTCAGATCTGGAGGACTGGGTAGAGCTTTAGGACATGTGAGGAGGTTGGGGTAATAAGGAAGGATGGAACCGAGTGAAAGAAGAGCTAAATCAGAGGATAAAGGGTTGCGTGAGGTGCAGATGTTGTGGGCTTGGGGTCTGAGAGACATCTGTAAAAAGACAGGATTCAATAGATGCTTCTCTCTTAAATGCAAGAACAGCTCAAAAATAATACTAGTATCAAGTGCACTTTATATATAT